ATTATTTTTACGCGTGTTGTATGTGCGTGAGGTTAATGTTATGCTGGAAGAGAAATTGAATTATTTTAATAGTCATGTGTTGTGATCCTGTCATCTCCCCTAAAAGTGAGAATTGTCACCCGTCTTAGTTCTGTGCTTTTAGATGAATTATCTGTGTGCTTTGTGTAGAAGTTAAGACCCCTTTCGAAAGACTGCCCTCTGTTGGCAAATATGGAATCCCTGCAAAATGGCGGACTAGAGCCGCAACCTCACGGCACACGTTTTGCATTTAATTGGATTAGAAGGCAAAAACACACCCAGAAACAAATGTGATGAGCGCAGTGCTCATCACGGCACACACCCAGAGAAAATGTGTGAGCGCGCTTCCGACGCTCTTTGACTGGCTCCTCGGCTTCTAGTGTGGCCCCGCTCCGACGTTGGCTACTTTATGGAATGACTTGCACGTTCCACGATGTCAGTTATTGTGCCGCCATTGTGCTGTACTTCCTAACTTATAATAATCGGCCCGTGACTTTCGAAATGAGATTTCGCGTCAGTCGTCTGGAATGATCTCAGTGCTACTGCGGTGGCAATTTTAATGAAGAATTAAAACTTTGAATTGGGCTAGTTGGTTTATTGTAATCTAAATAACTTAAAAGAACACAAAAAACACGGATTAGGAAGAGAAACGCAATACGGACTGGCGCTAACTTTCAACTGATTTAATCGAGGCAGTCATCCCAGCACACATGCGTGAACGCACTTGCCTACACGGCCAACCCCTTGTGATGAAAGTATCATATAAACACGCAAAACAAATGACAATGCTTCAAGATTTCGTATCACTTCAACGTGTCTACATAAAATCATCTAGGAAAGGAACTTTCTCGTCATTTAGTAAGATCGAAGGCGCGCTAACGCAGTTATGCCCTGACGACTTCATAAAATACGCTTTAACTATTTCCATTTCTGTCTTGTTATTTTTTCTTTTAATATACTCGGTTAATTCTTAAAAAGGGTTCACACACGCACTGCACGCAGTGTCTGCAACATGTCCTTGTGATTCATTCGAACCGCTGCACGATGTGATAGTGATAGTACTTTATTGCACTTAAAAGTTTGTGGTGCCGTTCGGTGTGCAGGTGAGGAGGGAAAGGCGTGCGCCCATACACATATTGTGCCCCTTTCACCAACCGGACGGCGCTATGAGGACTATTTTAGTTCTTATAAAAACTAGTCTAGACAAAAAAAAAAACAAAAAAAAACATGTTTTTTCACACACACACACACACACACACACACGCACGCACGCACGCACGCACGCACGCACGCACACACACACACACACACACACACACGCACGCACACACGCACGCACGCACGCACGCACGCACGCACACGCACACGCACACGCACACGCACACACACACACACACACACACCGGTGATTATGCTATTGTCCGAGTAACTGTTCTACACAACTCGCGGATGTCGTCTCGGTTGCAGGGGATTGACTCCGTGAGGTGGTGTGGGAGTGACCTCCAAATTTCTGCAGCACGCATTAGGCACGATGTCTTGTGGCGCAAAGTTCGCGACAGTGGAGGTTGTAGTCGGCCAGTTCGCTTGTTGAGGCGAGGTGGGGAAGGCACGTCAGGGTGGCCAGCACCCATCATTAGGCAGAAGAGCCTGATCGAGGCTACGTCTCTGCGGTGTTGCAGAGTCCGCCACTGGGCGTACTGCAGGAGTCTGGTAGTGGAAATATCTCTGGCGACAGTGTGGTGCGACGAGGGGGAATCTCGTCCGTACAGCGTAAGGGCTGCCCTCCGCTGTATGGACTCGAGAGATTTCTTATGCTTTGTTGAGGGGGGGTCCCAGATAGCAGAACAGAATTCCAGCTGCGGGAGTACCAGCGACGTGTATAGGTGCCTGAGTGGTGCGGCTGGCATGCCGCGCGTAATTTGGGTGACGAAACCCAGTGTCCGCCTCGCACGTGAAGCAGTTCCCTGGATGTGGCGACTAAAATCGAGGCGCTCATCGAATGCGACTCCGAGCAGTTTTGTGTGAGTGACACGAGAGAGTTCGGTGCCACCTATTGCAAGGGGTGGGGAGTGTGAGGGCTGAGCCAAGGACAGGCTGACTGTCATGCTAAGGCATTTTGTAGGGTTTAGTGGGAGGCTGTGTGTTACGGACCACCTGTAACAGGTATCGAGGTCGTTTTGAAGGGAGGTGACTGCGTCCTTAGAGATTCCTGGTTGTATCAGAGAGAGGTCGTCTGCGTACAGTGTTGCCTTAGATTTCAGTCCATCGGTGATGTTGTTTATGTACAACGAGAAAAGTGTAGGGCCAAGCACACTGCCCTGCGGCACACCGGCGAGCACAGTACAGGGTGACGAGTGAATGCAATGGCAGGTGGGTCGTTACAGTGAACCCCCATACAGATGATACCAAACAGAAAATCATTAAAAATGAATTATTATTAGAAACAAAGAATGGGAGTCGCACAGACAAGGAGGAGGAGATGAACACAGTGCTGTGCCATGTCCGTATGCTCTGTTCCCATATTCTTCACAATTTATTTTTAATAATTGTCTACCAACTGGCCCAGTCATCAGCACTAGCCAACAAGAGTATGCTGCTATTTTTTACTCTGCATTAACACTGTGCTTACAGTTAAATCCTACAGTGATGAACAAACATAAAAATGGGAGCAAGCCAGGCACGTAACCAAAATCTTGATTCGGCGGCACCCATGACAAAATGCTGTATGAGGGGGATGGGGAAGAAGAGGCCCCAGCAAAATGGAAGACTTTGGGGAGGGGGGGGGGGGGGGGGAAGCGGAGAAAGGATGGGCTTTCGTTATCTTTTGAGTAGGACAGGCGCTGGCAATGCTTCTGTGCCACTGGGAAAGCTGGAGTTCATATCCTTCAAATTAATTGGATCCAAAAATCTATAATATGTATTAGTGGCCGAGAAATTGCCCTGGAGGAATGCAGGCAGAGGATAACAAAATTGAATGCACACATGACAGAACAATAATACAGAAAAACAAGACGGAAAGAATAATCCACTACCGATGGAGTTGCCATGCAGTTGCTTTCATTTTGTGCGTTGTGACGTCGTTGGGCTCCCTGAAGCAATTAGCTAGACATGTCAGTTTGTACTGGGCAAAAGACGATGAAGGAGCTTTTTTTTTTGTCGCTATTTATGACCTTCCATTTCAGCTTCTTCAGATAAAAAGAATCCTTAGAATCCCTGTATTGGTGGTTTGGGCAACCTAGGCAATAAGGAGAGAATTATGTTACTAGTGCATTATGTTTTAATTGAACAAGGCAGAACCAGCTTGTGCTGCAGTGGCGTCACATAATGCCGAATGCACGTGACTTGCGACGCATTGGCGATGCCTCATGAAGCAACTACGATGGGTCAGACCCGCTATGTCTTTTTTAAAGCAAAATTAATATTATAATCAGGGAGCTGCTCCAGTTATTTATTAAGGTACTTTTTATTTAATATTGCAGATAAACAAGGAACATCTGAAAGCAACGAAAACATCAAATCATCAACACACCCGCCATGAAGCGGTGGAACAGGGGGTGCACCACAGTAGCTCTCAGCAGTAAAGGCGCACTTGAGCAGTAAAGGCGCACTTGAGCAGTCACAGCTGTGCAGTGGCTGCGATTACACCTGTGTGATCGCAGGAAACTTTGCTTAGAACCAAGCTCCTTAATTTTGTGCAACAGGTGGTTATGGGACTAATGCAACAAATGCTCGCCAATCTGTGCCTTCGACTCGCCGGGCGCTGTAAGTAGGCATGCTCGGAACATTAGCATGGTCTTGGTCGTCTTCTGCTGCCCCTGATATCGGCTAGAGCCAAGAGTCTTCGCTAGTGCGCTTAACGCTTACAAGAAGTATGCTTGTACAGCACTGCATCCAGCTCCACACTCCTTTTAGTGCCCGAAGCTCCAACTTCGATTGACCTTGCAAATCATGTAGGCAAGCGCCGTGGAAGGCGAGCCCTCCACGGCGCCAAGAGCATAAAACCTGTAGAGAATTTCTACTAACCTTATACTGGAACGGTGCTACTATTTTTCAGACATCTTGGCAGTAGCGGCTACGATGATCGTGGTTTACAATGTCAAGGAAACCATGGCACTGTCACATCTGTTTGTTGGAGAGGAGGTAAGCTCTCAACTATCCTTTCTAGCATAGGTTGCAAAATGTAACCTAGCGCTTTTATGAACTCCCTTCGCACAATCTTTCTAAGCAAATGTTTAGGCAACATTGGGGCACATATGGGTGATTCCACGTCAGTTCATGCAATGATGGTCCGGGTCATAATTTTGATATTTTTGTTAAAAATATATATGAAAGCCATGTTCTTGGGAGGAACATTAAGCTATATATGAATGCCGTAACAAATATTTTCGCTGAGATATAAAATGGAGAAGCTCGTGGTGTGGAAATCGAGAAGATTTCACTATGCTACTTTGCGCAGTCGTCATTTTCTCATCAAAGCTTTCACGTCACCATAACTTTTTTAATGCATTTTACAAAAGATATACAACACATACACAAAAAAGTAAAAATATCAATAAATTATTTCTATGCAAACAAAACTATCAAACATGGCATAAAAACGCGTTTCAGAGACATATTCACAATTTTCTTTGCAAATGAACCATTTGTCATAATACTTCACAAAACATATCAAAATGCGCGCCTATAAATAGTCTTTACGAATGTATAGAGATAATATGTCTACCCTTAATTGTCTTCTTGTTATTAATGCGGAAATGCAGCTGATTTCTCGAAATGTGGCAAGATTGGGCGTCAATATTTCAAAAACTCCATCTTTTATTTTTTTTAAACTTTCCTTGGCACTTTGCAGTGACTTGAACTAACTTGTGATGGCAAAACATTGAGTAACATATGACCTTCAAACGGGAAAAGCTACGACACAGCTTCACTCGGAGCGAGCCGACGTCTTCGTCATAGCGGCTTTGCCGCACAGCGCCAAATATTTTGAGCGTTAGTTATGGCATGCATTTTATATTTTTCAAATTCTTTTTTTCAGAAGGGGTTAGTATAACTGACACGAAAATGTACTTTAGGCTGGAATACCATTACTTAGTTTACAATTCACAAAAACAAAATGGCCCCACTCTGCAAATTCGCTAACTATGCATACCTAAGCTTAAAACTCTCAGTTACGCAAGTGGCCATGTATACATCCGGCCTCTCGGCATATGATGACTTCCACAGATGAGATGCCTGGATTCCTCTCACAGGTTTTACGGTGGCCCACTCTACTTGCTTCACCACACGAAACTCTCGAACCCGTTCCGCAGACAGGTGGAACATTCAGACATTTGTTACTTTTTCACGCAGCACTTCCACAAAGTCTTTAGCGGTGACAATCGTTGAGTTGAGCGAAGATCTCAAGTTGGTGAGCGTTGCGTGGTGTTTAAGAACACCACCTACTCCATCACAAGCGCTTTTCCCATGTCCAGTGGCTGAAAGGATCCATCTTGCCAAAGAGTACGGCTTCCGAGATAATTCGTGCAATTGGAAGCGATTCTTGAAATGCGCCGCCGCTCCGTCTGATACAAAAATTATTTCAGAAAAGAGCGGGTAATGTTCATCAACATACTCTTCTATGGCTTTTGTGGCTAGAAGAGCGTGAGCTGTGTCATGTATCGTGTCATCGCTGACAACGGCAAAGCTTTCCGTGCCTTGCGTGGACGTAACCACACATGTGAGGAGAGACACTTGAGTTTTTTTCCAATGAAAACTCTTCACTTCGGTTGGGAAGATGACTGTCCAATTTTCCGCAAAATCGAAGTGGAACATCACTGCCTTGGGTGGTAAGGCGGTTCTTGTGTCACGTATCAGGCTTCGTTGAAGGTCACGGATGTAAGAATGCCTCATATACTTTTCGCTCCATGACTCCAGTTCCTTTAGGAAAGCAGAAGTGTCCATAACCTTTTTGACGAGTTCGCCGGCGTCCCATAACGCGTAACAGATCTCTTCGTCTTCGTCGAGATGGAGCGACTGCAGCGAGATGCTCTGCATTTTTGGGCACTTTTCGCAACGGCGCAGGAAGCAATCGTTTTGTGGAGGGCTGCAGAGGTAGATGCGCTTGAAGTCATCTTCAGTAAATGTCTCCTGTGAGGCATTTGTTATTGCCGTTAAAAGCAACTGAAAATTGACGCAACATATGCAAGCGCACACCTCATGCTCGGGACTCTTTTTTACCCATTTTGGTCGTAGGGAATAGAACTTAGAGATGCCTAGTTCTCGATGGGGATGGTGCTTCCCAAACAGCTGGTAAGTTTCCTTAACAGAGCGGGTCATAAACCTTTTTACGACTTTGGTCTTGTTGTCGTTGATCATGGCTTTGACGACGTCCTTTTTGTTGGGGCTTTGAATAGAGCATGCGAGGTCGTCGCGTGTGTAGTACTCAAGTGCAACTCTCACGTCTTCGGCATTCGCCTTTTTCCCCATGTAGGGATCAGGCGTGGCCCATACACCACCTTTACGCTTCAGTTTTTACGTTTGATCAATCATGTAGGCAGTCGCTTCTGGCACCAGACGCAATATTTCTTTTTTCGAGATGCTTGGTGGCAGAAGCGTGTACAATAGCTTGCGTTCCTGGTGGGAACTGCAGGCCTTTAGCGCTTCGCGGAATGCGTCAAACCACTCCGCGCAGTGCTCACAACTGTCTTCGCCGGTTTTCATGCCATAAACGTCTGACAGCTTTCTTCTAATGGAAGAACTCACTTGAGCTTGTTTTTTCTTCAAATACGCTTCGCGCCTTTTTTTTTAATGGTTTTACGTGGTTTCAATGGAGTTACCGACGGACTAGCAGCACACAATTCTTGACTCACTTCAGCCAGAACTTCATCAGAGTCCCGGAAAGAAGAGTCTGATGTACTCACGTTGTGAGGAGAAGCAATCTCATTCTGGAGGTATTTGTAGCAATGTTGGCATAAAAGGTCAGATTCATTCACTGTCCGTGGAGCCAGTAGCTTTTCCAACCGCACTTTGTTGAGTCTCCCTATTGATACGAGGTGCTTATCGCTATACACTTTCTTCTTGTGTCTCCGTAGATAGTCCACACAGAACAATCGCACGGTGCTGAATCGTTGGGCCATGGCTGTTCGATTTGACACTAGACTCTTACTCGCTTCGTAAATGACAGAACTTCAAACCTCCTCGCAAACGCCTATTTGAGGGGTTCTGAATTCCTCTCTCCCGGCTCCGAATATCCGG